AACAAGAGCCCTTGGTCAACCAAGGGTGTCGGCCCGTTCCGTGTCCTGAAGCACAAGAACACTGGCGCGGTGCGCATGCTGCTGCGCGCGGAGCCTCGCGGGCACGTCGTGCTCAACCGCTCTGTTCTGCCTTCTGAGACATACAAGGCGGACAAGAAGTACGTCAAGCTCACGACCTCGAACGAGACGGGCAACGGCCTCGAAACCTGGATGGTGCAAGTCAAGACGGAGGACTTTGCCAAGGCGCTGGCAAGCGCCCTGGAGACCCACAAGTCTACCAACGCCAAATGAGGTCAATGATGGAAACGCAACTGAAAGGGATCATGGAAGAATGCCATAGCATGTGTTTTTGTTTTTTATTCTCCGTTATTTGGTCTGAGTCTTATACTAGACGGAGAGAAAGTGTATGTCTTGTTTGTCTGTAACAGACATACATGTGATGGAGTGTTGGGGTTTCGCGTAGCGACACAAAAAAGAAAGGTAAGGCATAGCATTGCTCTTTTGGCTCGGCGTTGGGACACTATTTTTGTTATTTTGGTTTTATTTTTCTTCTTCACTCGTTTCCTCTCGAGGTTGCCGGAGATTATGTGTACTGCGTATCCTCACTAGGAGGGCGGATTTGTGAGGATTGATGGAGAGTGAGGCAGAGGCCGAGGCTCTGAGAGACAGGGCGAGAGGGAAGAGGATCCGAATGAAAAGTACAGTTGTAGAAGTTACATTGGGAGGAATAAGGGAATTGTAGTACATTATCAAGGAAATTGTGTACCCTGGCTTGAAGTGTTATTTCCCCGTGCTTACTGTGAAGTCGAGAATTGTATGTTGTTGGCCAGACTTGATCCCATTCGATTTTCAGCTTTGAAGACTGCTTCCTCTAGAAGTTTGAGACTTGCAAGTCTGCTTCTCATCGATGGTGACGGAGAAAAGCAGCCAGTACGGCCGTCCGTAGCTCAAGAGCTCTCTCTGTTGCCGTGCATAGGTGCATGCTTCGGTGTAAATCGGATAGGCGCGTGCTTGAGAATATGAATTCAAGCGAGCCCGCATTTACTGATATCTCGTTTGATGTATTCTTCCTTCCTTCTCTAGTTCCGTTTTCCTATTTAAGCATTTCCGTTCCACGAGTTGGATAGCGGACAAACCACATTCTGTCGCGCTGAGCGGTGTCGTAGGGAATGAGCAATGATTGCTTGATATGGGGACTCTGGACGGCTATGTTAGGTTAGCTTGGAGCCCCCCCTTTTAGCGAACGGATGTCAATGTACTATACCCAATAACTTGACGGAAATGAGAATCAGTGTTTTGTATCGTCCGTCTGGCGTGAGATATTCAATATGGCATAGGGGTCAAGAGCCGAGAGGTTTTGATAGGAACTGGGGTTAATTCTGGCCAGTGAGAGTCTGTCTTGGGAGTAGGTAAAGTGAGATGGTCTCCTTGGTTCCTTGTCTAGTCGTAGACCTCCGGGTACTTCGTCAATCAATGACTCCTCTCCGAGATACTAGAAAAGAACACATGTCTTACTTGGGGAGCTTACTACAGGATCTTTTGGAGGTGTTTTTATACTAGACGACTGACCCCGCTGTGAAATCATCTCAGAGCAAGATGCCAGGGGACGGTACTACTTACTTGCCCGGCAAATCATTTCAACGGTACATCTTCCCCAAGAGGCACTTCACTAGCTGAATTCCTCTGAATCCCATCGCGTCTTATCAAAAACAACTATAATCCTACGGATTGAACATCTTTTTGTTGCTTGTTTTGTCCGTATGGTCTAGAGGACTCGAGGCAACCTCTGGAAAAGCCTGAGAAGCACCCGGTCGACCGCTACACGATGGTCAGTACATTCCTACCACACTGTTGTCCCGGTCACGAAGCCGACGGTAAATGGTACTATGCGGCTCAGCATGCGTTCTACTGTGTGCAAAGAGAATTCAGCAGTCGTGCGTTGTACGATACTCCTAGATTACTATTGCCTATGCGGCACCCGAGAAGGCTGAGATGGACGATGCCGAACTTGAGTGACAGTGAGACACAAGATGTATGCAAAAACAAACGTTTCGGTCCCTGGCATACAATCGAGACTTTTTCTTCATATCTATTGGATCAAGGGAGCTTTTTGGCCCCCGCAGCCTGATTTTGACGATATTCCTTCGCGCGCTAATTGGCTGTGATTCTGCGCGGTGCGACGCACACGATATGCATGTAAGCACGTAGCCTGGTCACAATGAGGATCTTGAACGGGGGGCTGGAAGGAATGTCGCAGCTGCGCGACTGTGGCACAATTTGCCGCTGGTTGAATCTTTGATATATAGTGTCTTCATATGAACATCCTGGGAGCTCATAACTTCGAGTTTTGGCTCATCAGTCGCAGGCGCCACCATCAGCGATGTCAAGTATATGGCAGGCTGAGGTCTTCATCTGACGATCTTTGCCTACGTTGAGCGATCTTGATCAGATTCTGGGAGCAGCCTCATTTTCAACCACGTCGCCAAAGGCCGACATAGCAGTCCGACATGGCGGCTAACCACAACCTTGGGATGGACTTTGGCAGCTATGCTTACCAGGCTGGCGGACCACGTTGGCCTCAGATGGTGTACAACATCTACAACTCGAAGGACTCGGCTGGTCCCATAACTGTCGAACTTCCAACCGTTTGGAGGTCTGAATCAATAGACGCCCAGAAAGACTGTTACGACCCGAAATTCCTGTTCCATGGCTCGGCTCCAAACTCCTACGGCTGTGCCGCCATCGCGACTTCAGCGTTACTTGTGCAGAATCATGATTTCGTCGCCGACAAGACTGCTAAAGAAGCAAATTCAAAAATCAACTTTGGATCTCTGGACAAGTTCAATGCCTCGCGAGTAATCCAAGCAATCGTCAGCTGCGTCGAAGCATCTTGTACTGGCAACAACCCCTTGGGAGACTGTGATCCGGAGGTCGCGAAGCTCAAAGAGAGTCAAGCGGTAGCCGGCAGTATGGACGTGGTCTTGAGTGGTCTCACTTCATTGTGTTCCTTCCTGACGAAAGAACCAGAAGCTGACATTGCTGGGCCTGGGGTAAGAGAAGCTGTTGATTCTAACAGGGGGAGGACTCTGGGCTGACAGTACGATAGATTGCCGTATCGTACTACATACAAGTTGCACTATGCATCTGGTTCTTTATCTTCTGCGGCCTCCTTCCTCACCAACCAGACTCCTCAACCTTTTTCAGCATGCTACGCGTCATCAGGTGGTTCTTCAGGAAATGCCGCCGACGTTCCGACGCGGAAATTGACCGCCTTCGCTCGACCTTGACACATCTACGCTCGACGCGTTTTTCCGTTGCCCTGTGTTCAGCCATGGTTGAGTTCCAGGAGACGCAGGCCTTCTTCGTCATGGCAATTGAGGCAGCGACCCTTACCATGGTTATCATGAACAGCGAGTCTCTCGCCATCCGAGTCGACGTCGGCGCCGCCAAGGCGTTCGCCACGGCAAACACGCTGCTGGTCCTCATCACGCAGGCCATCATGCAGCGGAGGGGTATGTACTGGTGGTACACATTCATACTGACAGTCATTGTCTATGTCCTATGCGCCATCATCCAGATGCTCAGCCTCCCGGCACCGTCCTCCTCCACCTCGGATCACGATCTGGAGCTCGTGGAGTGCGGCGGGCAGCGGAGTATCCTACAAACGTGTATGCAGTTCGGCAATGGCGATTACTACTTTGCCGACGGATATCTACAGTCGAGCGACAAAAGCACCTATTTTGTTATTTACACAGCAGTCATGGTATTCCTGACAGCGGATCATCTTGGAAACACCCCTCGTCTACGCAAGGTGAAAGACTTGGCTCGTCAGGCTCTCGAAAAGCGCAAGATTCGGATACCTGCATGGGTTTTCACTGTTTGGTCCGTCTTGGGGAAGCTATTATGGGCTTTCCTGGTGTTGATAATGGCTACTTCTCTATTCGCTAATGTGGCCCAAGTCCACGATTTTGTTCGATCAACAATGGGTAAGAAAAAGCAGTGGACGTTTGGCCAGGTCGTTGCGGTGCTTGTGTGGGCGCCGGTACTATCTAAGTACATTTACTATAACATTTGTAAGTCCTACCCTAGCAAGATACAATGTGGAGCCTGTCCTCTTGAATTTTGGCCCAATGGCTGACTTTCTGACTCTTTCAGTTGGTATTGAGCTTGGGGTTGGCAAGCGAATAGACAATCAGTACAAGGTCGTGCTCAACGAAGAAAATCCATCCCTCACACCTCCCGGAGCACAAGAACGGTTCAATTCCTCAAGGAACTTGGTAAATGACAGCAGCTACATCAGCTTAAGCACTATTGGAGATGGTCATGAAGATCAAAGACCCGCAAGGGCAGAGACAAGGTCGTTCTCAGGAGGGGTAAAGCGCAAGCCGTTACCACCGAGGACCGACACTGAGTTGCCTAGATGAGGTGCGTAGGACTGGATAGCAGATGGATTGAAGTGCCATATTGTAGGTCTCAATAGAGCTTGATTACCTTGCATTACGACTTTTCAAATGTGCCGACGTTCCTGCTTGTACTCGACTACCCTCTAGAAAACCAATTCCAAAGCTTCGAGATATTTCCACGATGTGATATGCCTGATAGACTTAGCCGTTCTGCAACGGTTCTGATGTGACCGAACCTTCTTGGCCTACCCGCAAGGTATCTGAACCTTGCCCTGGCATCCGCAAGCATCGTCCGCAACCTTGAATCCCTTCCTGGGATTTCAATGATAAACTTCCGTGAAGACACCATGATGGCTAGTATTTTGCCCTTCTCGTGACTCTGGGGTTTCTTCAAAGCTTTCTCCGAAAATTGTCTTCCAGAAAGCTATATTAACGAGACCGATTCTCTTCCAGGACCAGAAATTCATCAGTCTCCCAACCCATTACATCACACATCTTCCTCAAGTTGATCGATCATCTCTCACTTACACACTACCACAACTCATCGACTTACATACCCAACTCCAAACAAACAACCAACCAACCAAAGTCTTCAAGATGCCTTCTCAGACTTCCACTCTCTACTTCCTCACCCTGGCCCTTGCTGCCACAACCTCAGCCATCGCTATCCCAGTCAGGGCTATTCCCACCACTACTGGCATTACCCCCACTCCTACTATCAGTTCAGTCGTCAGCAGCTCCTCTACAATCGCCGTTGCTGCACCCTCTTCTTCGGACAACGTCCCATCTGAGGCAATGAACTGGGACTGGGCAGCAACCGCCCTCGACCTCATGAAGTCGAACATCAAGGGCAAGGAAGACGGTTCCAACATCAAAGAAGAGGAGAACGTTTCTGCTCCCTCTTCCGTTGAAGCCCCGGCTCTGGTTGTTCCAACCATAAGTAACACCTTCAGCACCCTGGTCACTCCAGCACCCAGCAGCTCCGCCATCGCCGCACCCACACTCACTCTCACCCACGACACCGCAGCCAAGGCCATCCCAACCGAAGAGGCCGTGGCCTGGAACTGGGCCCTCCCGGCCCTCAAGCTCATTGAGAGCCGCGAGCTCGGAGACTCGACATCCTTCGCCAACCGCCGCACAGGTGACAGAGCCGACAAGGTGGACAGCTCCGACCTCGTCGAGGACAAGATTGAGCAAGATTCCGAGCATGTTCAGCTCGATGAGGCCGCAAAGGAGAGCATTAAACAAGCCGAACCTCCTTCCCTGCCGCTGCAGACCGCTAGCCCTAGCGTGGAGGAGCGAGTAGAGCCTACTAAAGTCAAGGCTGACTTCACCATCCAAACCGAGACCCGTCTCTTCGAGACCATTGCGACTCCGGCTGTCGAGACTCGCGCTTCAACACCTATGACGATGGAGGCTTGAGACTCCTCGATGGGCGTGAGAGATGGAATGGAAGATCGTTACTACTACGAGTAGTCGGTAGTCCCTAGGAGATATTCTTCTCAGTAGAATAGAGTAGAAATGCAGAAGGGATTACACAACGTACAACCTGTGACCATGTTCTTGATGCTGACTATTCCGTGAGACGAGTAATTAGAACTCGCCTATCCTGACTCTTCTTGAGTGAATTGTTTGTGTCGTGGTGGCACAAAAGTCCAATGGTATTCTGAGTTCCCTGGTAACAGTTGCACAATTGGATTCGCTGGCAGTACATGTAAAAGGAATCATTGTGTGTGTGTGTGTGAGTGTCTCGGGACCTGCCGATACGCGCGAAGCGGCTACCTCATTCTACCTCGAAACAACCTAACTCAGCAAACTCAACTCCAATCAAAACATCACAGGCCCTCGGCTTTCTTTTCTTATTCCACATTGAATATCTCGCTCTGGGCAGATAAAGGTCTACGGAGATGCCCCTTTCCTAATAGGTATAATGGGAATACCAACCGACGTGTAAGCATGATGGAGAGCAAAGGGACGTGATCTTTGCAAAGTCGAAGACCATAGCGTACTTCAAAATCTAGACGCCGACACTGACGAAGTTGATTGCGGATAAAGCGGCCAAGATTCACACAACCATCCCTATTTTATACGTAGGCCGAGCCATTCGGCAAGGTCAATATGACTGGGGCTTTCCTACCTACGCACAAACGAGCTCACTTCGAAACGACCCTAAGAGATTCCCATCGAAGCCCCTCCTAGACCTGCAGAGCAGTATCCTCCCTATTCGCATGACTTCCCTTCCTCCATCCATCCGTCGGATCTCTCTTATTACTAACCCCCTTCTCAGCCCCAACCTTACCCCAACCGCCACCACCAGGCGTGTTGATGATAATCCTCTCCCCAGGCTTCATAGGCGCGCTATTCTTCGCTCCGAGATTAAACCTCCGCTCCTCATACTCCACCTCCTCGTCTCCCTTGGCCTCCCCAGCAGCACCCTTCAACCTCTTCAACGACTTCTCCCAGCTCCCCTTCTCAACTTTCCTCACCCACACATTCAATCCAGCCTCAGCGTCTTCGCCACCAGCGAGCCCATACGGTCTATACACCCGCCTCTCGCTCAAAATCGACACTTGCACAGGAATCCGGAACTCGATGTCCCTGACAACGCCATCACCGCCCCGATGCTGCCCGTCACCACCAGACCCCTTCCTCAACGAAAACTCCCGCAAAATCACGGGATACCGCCTTTCAAACACCTCCGAGTCTGTAATACGAGTATTCGTCATGTGCGTGTGTACACCACTCGTGCCCTCCCAGGTCGGTCCCGCGCCGCTGCCGCCCGCAATCGTCTCGTAGTACCCGAACCCCTTCACCTCCTTCTGTCCCGTCACGTTGCCGCCGAACCCGAACGTAAGGTTATTGCAGTCGCCCTGACTCGCCGCACACGCCTGGAAGGCTTTGAAGATGACGTCCGTCACGCGCTGGCTTGTCAGGACGTTGCCGCCTACAACCGCCGCGCCGTCTGATGGTGACAGAAGCGATTTAGGCGGAATCTTGACGTTGATGGGCTTTAGGCATCCCTGGTTCAGTGGTATGTCCTCCGAAATGAGACACCGAAGGCAGTAGATGATCGCGCTGTACGTCACGGCCTCGGGGGCGTTGACGTTGCCGTAGACTTCGGGTCCGGTGCCCTCAAAATCAAACACCGCCTCGCCCTTGTCGGCGTCGATAGTGACCTTGAGACGAATCGGGCTGCCATCGTCCATGAAGTCCACCGCCTGCAGGTCTTTACCTTCAAATCGCTTGCTAACCTCCTTCAGCAGGGTGCGGACGCACAGCTCAGCGTTATTCTGGATGTGAACCATGTAGAATTGCACAGTCTCCTCGCCGTACTCCGCAATTAGGCCTTCAATCAGCGCAATACCCTTCTGGTTCGCCGAGACCTGGGCTCTCAGGTCGTTGATGTTGTCAGCCAAGCATCGGGTTCCACTGCATCCAGGGTACTGCGCAGGCTCGTTATACAACAACTCCGTCACTCTCTTCTCGTCGAAACGTCCTTCGCTAACAAGCTTCTCACTCTTGATTGCAGCGCCCTCCTGGAAGAGCTCCTTTGAGTGAGGGGGCATACTACCAGCCGTGATACCTCCGATATCCGCATGATGCGCTCTTGACGCGGCATAGAAGAGGATCTTGTCGCCCTTGTCGTTGAAAGCCGGCATCACGAGGGTGATGTCCGGCAAATGGGTGCCTCCGTAGGAAGGATGATTGGAAATGATGACGTCGCCCTTCTTTAAATCACCTTTCCAGATTTCGGCTTGCCGCTTGACGCAGGTGGACATTGAGCCCAGATGAACGGGAAGATGGGGCGCATTGGCTACGAGACCGCCCGTCGCGTCAAAGATGGCGCAGGAGAAATCGAGTCTCTCCTTGACGTTGGTGCTGACACTGGTTTTCTGGAGTGCTCTGCCCATTTGTTCTGCAATAGCCATGAATCGATGACCGAAAATGCTCAGCATGATCGGGTCGACTTCTCGTTCGCCTTGGTTCTTTGGCGCCCTATAATCACAGGTCAGCTTCATGCTTTCGAATCAGTCTTGATCTTACATACCCATCTTCTTTAGATCCTTCCTTCTCAATGTCAATCACAACGTGGGTATCAAGAACCAGCGCAGTAGCTTTTGGCGTAACCACGATGGTCTGCGTACCATCAGCGAGCATGGCAGGTCCCTTGATAGTCTCGCCGGTGCCCAAGTCCTCAAGCTTGTACACCGGGGTATCGAGTCGGCCTTCCTCGAAATACACCTGCTGTCGGTTATGCGCCTTGTTCTGCTCCACATCTGTGCGCTTCAACTCTTTGAGCTGCTGGTCCACCGTCTTCTCCGCATGCCTAAAGCTCTTTCCAATACCGCGAACGCGCACGTCATCGACAATAATATCTCGATCGTCGAGGGTGAACCCAAACTCGTAACGGTGCTGCTGAATAAAGGCCGTGCCATAGTCCCATTCCTTTGCGTCCTTCTGCTCGTCCTGATCGGGCCTGATGATCATCAACGCCGACTCGGTACCCCTGTACCTCATGTTGAGGTACTCCTCAAACACGATTTCCTTCTCATCGAAGCCCTGGTCGCGCAATGCCTTGCGGGACTTGTCCTTGAGCTTCTCCATCTTGCTCTTCAGCTCGTCCACTGCCTTGCCGGGGTACTCCCAGACCTTGGAATCGGGCTCCTGGCGCTCGTCCACGACGTCCGCAAGTGCCATGCCGTAGGCTGATAGTACAGAAGAGTACCTATGGATGAGAATTTGCTGAATACCGAGAGCCTCGGCAATGGCAACAGCGTGCTGTCCGCCGGCACCACCAAATGTCGCCAAGCGGTGCTTGGAAGAATCGTGGCCCTTGGCTTCCGTAATGGACCTGATGGGTCTCGTCATAGTCTCATTCGCAACGGTCAAGAATCCGTACGCCACCTCGTCGACGCTCATACTCTTTCCAGCCTCCTTGTTAACCTGGTCTGCCAGTCCCTGCAGGACCTTCTTGCTGGCCTCAGGATCAAGACCCTGATCTTCATTCTCGCCAAAGATCTTGGGAAAGAACTCAGGAAGCAAACGGCCAAGGTAGAGATTAGCATCAGTCACAGTCGCCGGGCCCCCCTTTCTATAACACGCTGGACCCGGATGCGCGCCGGCAGACTCCGGCCCCACGACAAACAGCCCATTCTTCCAGAAAAGCATAGAGCCGCCGCCCGCTGCGACCGTGTTGATGTCCAGCTGCGGCGACTGAATAGTCACACCAGCGGTGGTCGTCTCAAACACATGCTCGTACCGCCCCTCGCCGAACCGAGAGACGTCGGTGCTCGTGCCGCCCATGTCGAATCCAATCACGGGGATCTTTGTCTCTTCATCGTACGACGTGATGGCGTATCCCACAACACCGCCGGCCGGACCGGATAGAATGGCTTTGAGTCCGGTGAAGTTCTCCACGTCAACCAGGCCGCCGTCGCTTTGCATGAACTCGCACCGGGCGCCCTTGGCACCTTCTTCTTGCTGAACGCTCCTCGTCCCCAGACCACCTTCGAATCCAGCCTGGAAACCCGAGATGTACTTTTTGATTGCTGGCGTCAAATACGCATCCGCGCAAACAGATGTCGCTCGCGAGACCAGCTTGATCATGGGCATGAGTTCGTGACTGAGAGAAATGTGTTTGAAACCAATTTCCTTTGCAATCTTGCCGACCAAGGCTTCATGGTCGGGGAAGGTGTAGCCGTGCATCAAGCATACCGCAATACTGCGTATACCCGAGTCGTAGACCTCCTGCAACTGATCCTTGATACTCTGTGCCTCGGGACGCTGTAATATTCTTACAGCCTCCCCCGAGGTCCCCTGAACAAGCTCCTCTCGAGCTGCCTCTGGCGTTCCAGCCTTGGCAGACACTTCAGTCAAATGCCTCGTCGGGTCCTCTGCATAATCCTCCAGCGTAACGCGCTCATCAACCTCGACGACCCTCTCATATAGCACATCCGGCTTCCGGATCGCCAAGTCAAAGATCTTGGGCCTGCTCTGGTTGCCGATGGCGAGGCAGTCCTTGAACCCCTTTGTCACGACCATGGCGATCTTCTCGCCCTTGCGCTCCAGCAAAGCATTAGTGGCTACGGTGGTTCCCATGCGGATGGAATTGATTCTCTTTGTGTCGAGGGCCTCGCCGCGGGGGATTTCCCTGCCGAGGAAGTGCGACATGATGCGCCGGATTCCCTCGAGGGGCGCATCTTCATAGTTGGCTGGGTCTTCGGATAGGAGCTTGATGATTGTCTCTTTCCCATTGAGCTCGCCGACGCAGTCGGTGAAGGTACCGCCGCGGTCGATGGCGATGCGGATGCCGCGGTCTCGTGAGTCTGAAGCCATTATGACGGTAGACCTCAAGGATGTTGGGGTGAGTTCTCGAAGATTATTCAGGCAGGAGTCTTGGTTCACAATGCAATTGAAACTAT